CTTTCCCTTCTCTGGGCTTTATTTTCTATTAATTAAATACCTTTTTGTTTATGTATAAGACCCAATCCTTTTCCCCTATGTGAAGCTTCTACGGTGGTTTTTGTGCTGTATTTCCTGCTTGTTCCTCTCAGCATGACACAGCATACCTGCTAGATGTACTCATATGTGTTGTTCTAGGAATAAAGCCTTCTGCGTATTTAAAAGTAGTAGTGGTATTTACCCAGGTAAAGGTATATTCTCTACCCTTCCTAGGCACTCTCTACCTCTTACTCTAAGATTTGGGGCTTTGAAAGCCATCCCGAGCATTTAGTACCTAGTGACACTGAAACATCTCTCATTTGTTTTCCCTGGAAAATAATCTGTGGAAACTTGGATTAGTGTCAAGTCACCCTGGAAACAGACCCCATCTGAATAGTGGCTCCAGAAGCTAAAGGGAATAATACCTTCGAAATGCAGAAAAGATCCTTTTTCCCAGGTCAGCCGACGTCTTCATGCCCCTCAAGTTTCCAGTTTGACTCAGTGTTTGCCCTGAGCATTTGCCTTTCTTTCAGTTGTCCTGAGAGAGAAAGACCCAGGGCATTCAGAAACGTAGTTCTCTTGCTTTGTTGACCCACTGTTTGAGGGGGTCTAGTGGAAACGTGTATGTGGGTGATGAAGTAGAGGCATCCCTTGGTTATTTCATGTCTTTTTCCAGGACTGTGCCTAGGTGCAGTTTTTTGGTTTTTTTTGGTTTTGTTTTTTAAGAGAGATTTTTTGCTTTCAGGCATGTGCTCTCGCTGAAGAGACAGAGAGACAAAAAGACAGAAATCACCCCCCCCAGGGGGATGGCCATGCTTCTCATCTATCCTCCTTTCAGGATTTTGCCTCACACATCTGGCGTGCCTCACACATCTGGCATGAGTTTTAAGCCACCAGGTCCAAGATTCGAACTGTAGTAGGCTACATGAGAGTTCAACAACATAACCATTATGCCATCTGCTGATCCCGTAGGTGCAGTATTTTAAGTTGGACTTGGGTTGCCAAGGCCATTGATGATCCCTTGCTCAGTTCACCCCTAGAGATAGACTCCTGCTCCTGATCCCATACTCTCCAATTCTCATTCACGTAAAAGTACTCAGAAAATCACAGTATCAGGCTGGCCCATGGCCTGGTGGTTAAGGGAGCTGGATCCTATGTGCCTGAATATGCAGTTTGAGTCCTGGCCCTGGTGGCTTGAAAAACATGCCAGATGCATATGCATGCATGCCCAAAATCCCAGCAGGATGGAAAAATGAAAGAGATGGGAATTGAGACCTGACCATGCCCCATTTGCGAGGTGTTTTCTCCCTCTCCCTCTTTCTGTCTCTCCCTGGCAAATGTACTTACCTCACAAATATTTTTTAAATGACAATATCAGGCCGGCAGATGGTGTGGAGGGTAAGGCAACTGGATCCCACTTGGCCAAATCCATAGTCTGGTTCCAGATCCAGCAGCTTGAAAGTTATGCCAGGCATATGTGTATGCGTCCCCAAAGAACCAAGAAGAGACTGGACAAGAAGGGATTACAGGGACCAGCATTTAGCGTAATGGCTATGTCGCTGGACTCCCATGTAGTCAACCGCGGTTCTCATCCCGGACCCGGTGACTTACAACTCACGCCGTGCACATGTGCGTGTGTGCCCAAGATCCCGGGAGGAGAACGGAGGAGAAGGGATTGCGGCGTGACCATCCCCCCTGGGAGGTGATTTCTCGCTTTCTGTCTCTCTGTCTCTGTCTCTCTGGCGAGCACACACGCCCTATAGCAAAAAGCTCTCCAAAAAAATAACAAAAACAAAAAAAGAAGAGATTACAGTGGGTCCATTCCACCCATGGGATGGTTTCTCACTTTTCTGTTTCAATGTCTCTGGCAAATACACAAGCCCTATAGCCATAAAAAAAAAGAAAAGAAAAGAAAAAAAAAAAGAAAAGAAAGAAGAAAAAGAAAGAAAGAAAGAGTATTTACATAGCATATTGAGGAAGCTGGAGGCTGCCCACGATGGAGGCCATAGACCCAGGGACATCCATTAACTAACCTGACCACAGCACAAGAGTCAGGAAACTTCTCTGGTCTTCTCAGATAGAAGACTTTCCCAGGAATCTGCCATCTCCCACCCTGTCCACATTCTACTCATCCCAACTGCAGATATAGGAGGGGAGGGATAATTCAGATTTGTCCAGAGACAAGGTGACACACGTGTAGAGGGGCAGGGTGGGCCTGTGCAGCCTCTCCCTCTTCACTCAGGCTGGGTGTCGAGCAGTCAGAGCAGGCTTTGGACAGCTCCTTGTCTGCTTGTTTGGATGAGAGGGTGATATGTGGGTAGAAACATTTCTAACTCCCCTTGCGCCTGCATTGGTGAATATCAGGAACCCAACTTGTGCCTCTTCCAGTGACCCCTATCCCAAGGAAAATAGGGGTGACATTCCTGCCCCTGTGCACCAGTGTGGGCTTGGTCTAGCACTTTCTGTGTTACACATGCTGGTGGTAAAGGCCTTGTGACCATTACTCCCAGGATCATAGACACTTGTGATCACAGCACCGTGGAGAATAATTCATGGTTTTCTTCTTTCAGCAATGGACAACCTACAGGAGAGAGCACTACACATCCGGAAAGTCCTCCTGGTCCTGCCCAAAACCACTCTGATTATCATGAGATACCTCTTTGCCTTCCTCAATCAGTGAGTAGCCTTCCCAGTGAACAACTGGATCAGACCTTGGCTTTGGCTGAGGCATTTTCCATATGGATCTATGTGTATTCACCCATCCCAACAAATATTTATTAAGTCCCTACTATGTGTGGGCCATAGTGCTAGGCTGTAAGACTACATTGTCAGGCCAGCTCGGTGGCTCAGCAGTGACCTGTTGTCAGGTGCTGCTGGATCCACAGGGAATACTGCAGTTTTATTCTCCAGTAGACCTGTGAACTCTGGGTGCATGCACCCATGATCCTGACTGGCTGGGAAGACTGGGAAGTAGGGTCGCAGCATGAGATCCTGTTGAAAGTGCCCCTCCTCTCTCTCCCTTTGTCTCTTTTGCTCCTCCTACATCTCTCTCTCTCATAAAAGAAAGAAATACTTTTTTAAATGCATTGTTAAATAAAAGATGAAAGCCTAGCTATCACTTAGCTCATGTTCCTGGGGAGGAGACGGACGATAACAGATGAGTCAGATGGAGTAAGTGCTTAGAAGGGTAAAGAAAGGGATAGAGGGAGGGGTCTGATGGAAGCCAGAGTACAAGGACGGAGAGCCACTTGATGGGTGGTCAGCACAGGCCTGTCTGAGCAGATGGTGTCCAAGCAGCACCTGAGTGACATGAGAAACGAGCCACGGAGACACTCAGTGCTCAGGAGTCATAGCAGTAATGATTCGGCATTGGGAAGTGATTGGAAGAGTCTAAGGAGCAAAGTCTTATGATCCAATGTATGTCTTTTTTTTAAACCTGCCAAACTCTTTGTGGAGGGTGGTAAAGAGAAGCAGGGAAACCTACCCAAGGTTATCACATGGTCAGAGTTGTTGCTAGCTTAGCCTCGGGTGGATGGAGGACTCAGGTTTAGGATATGTTTGAAACAGCACAGGCAGGACCTTCAGATGGGTTAGCTGAGAATGAGATGAAAGAGAAATCCCGAATTTTTGGCATGAGCAACAGGGGGCTAGTGATACCGTTTATAGAGTTAGGGACGATGGGTGTGGAGGAAAGAATCAAAACTAGGTGCCCATGTGGGCCCTGTAATGTGAGATACCTGTTCGTTATCCAAGTGGGAATATTGAACAGTTGAATGGAAATCTGCTGTTCAGGGGAGAGACCTGGAATGGGGATGCCTTTGTGGGAGCCTCCCCTGTACTGGTGGGATCTTGCCAATCACCCAAGGAATGACTGGCTCGAGGAAAGGTCTGAGGACCACCAGGGCCTGGGGCCTGGTGTGGGCATTTCTTCTTGTCCACACAGCATGTCCTTGCCTAGGGCAGGCACTGGGGTCCTCATGTGGCAGTAGAGGCAATGAGCAAGGACACGTGCTGCTTCCCTTAGGTCGTTCTTTCTTTTCACTTAGCTTTCGCCACAGCTGCTCCCTCAGCGACCCAGACCAAAGGTGGTAAATGGGCAACCCAGGGCAAACTAAGGCCCCCAGATGCATTTCTTTCAGGTCCAATATGATTGAAAACATACAAGCAGCATTTAAATATTGAGAGATTAAAAATGTACCTTGGAGATGGGGCACCCTGTGGCCTGGTAGTTAAAGGAGCTAGATCTTACGTGGCTGATCGCACAGTTAGAGTCCTGGACCTGGTGGCTTGAAAAACACACTAGGTACATGTCATGCATGCCCATGATCCCAACAGGATGGAGAAATGGAGAAAGGCTTACAGTGTGACCATACCCCACTGGGTGGTGTTTTCCCCCTCTCTCTGTCTCTCTCTGCCGTCTGGCAAAAAAAAAAAAAAATCTAGATTTCTAGCTTCTTTTGAAAAATGATTAGGTCTGGCAATGTTGGATCTGTATACTCAGGGCAGCAGTTGGAATAGATGGGCAAGTACTCCCCAACTGACCACTGTCCCCAGTCTTCCAGTTATAATCCAGTCCCCAGGCTGAATTCACTTGTCATTTGTCATCCATCACTCTTGCTTCATGGGTTTTCATTTATTGGAGAACTCTTTCTCTGTATCCACAAGTCCACTGACGAGGGAGAAACAGAAGATAAACCAAGGTGCCAGGGTGGTTCGCACGTACTCCCTTGTGAAAACGAAGAGTTTTCCCACATGGTTGATCTCTAAAGGAATGTGACTTTTGAGGCCATTTCACAAGGCCCACTGGCTTACAAAAGTCCATGATCAGCCTGGTCCCCTACGCACATGGGTTAGCAATCCCTGCCTGAGATGTGTAGCGGCACCCACACCATCTGGAGCCAAGTTGCTGGCCCTGCAGAGCTACAGTGGGCCCTGGATCAACAGCCTGCCTCCTTCCCATGCCTGTGTCTGCCATGTTCGTTGGCCAGGCCCTGACTCGGCCCCACAACTGCCTTTGAGTTTAAAATCCCCAATGACTCACACAGGGTGTCCACATGGAGCTGGCAACTGTGCTAATTCCTCTCGAGTTAGTCAGCCTCCTCAGGGTCACCAATCATTATCTTCCCTCATCGATGAGTTCCAGCCGTCAACATGAGCTTAGGTCTGTCCCTCCAGGGCAGGGAGCCATGACGGTGCTGAGCAAAGGACGGGGTAAGGAAGGGCCTGGATTGACTGTGTGTGGTAGTATGATGGCTTTCTTTTCTTTTCTTTTCTTTTTTTTAAATTTTTTTTTAAGGTTTTGTGCTTACTGGAGAGAAAGACTGTGTATTCAGTATGCGCTCACTGGCGAAAGAGAAAGACGATGAGAGGAAAAGTAAGAAATCACTCCCCAGGGGGTATGGCCACACCGCAATTCCTTCTCCATTCTCCTCCTGGGATTTTGGGCTTGCACACACGTGTGCCTGGCATGAATTTCTAGCCGCTGGGTCTGGGATTTGAACCACAGTGAGCCATATGGGAGTCCAGCACTTTAACTACCATACCACCTGCTGACCCCAAGGGCTTTATTTTCTTCCCCACACTTTCTTCCTTCTGAAAAGGGGGGGAAAGTACAGGAGGCAAGAAATAATAGAGTAAGCTTCAAGCAGAGCTGGTGATGTGGGCCACCGTTGACACAACACCGGAAGTGTACCGATTCCTGTGATTAGGGTTTTTTGTTTTATAGTCTGATTTTTTAAAGCTTAATTTGCTCGTCACAGTGTGACATTAGAAAAAATGCAGCATTAATAGTCAAATTTGTGTTTCCTAAACTAGTAAATGTTGAGCTGTTGGAAAAGTCATGACACATTTTCGTTCAGAAAAACAGAAAAGTGCATAATGCCTTTCCCAACAACCTCAGAATACCGGTGGTCAGGAAGACCACTTGTATGGAAAGGCAGCAGTCGATAAGTGCGTACTTCCTGACTTAGCAAGAGCTGGCAGATAGCTCCTGGTGGAGACCACCTGGACTCAGACTTTTAGGACCTTTCTTTATCACGCTGGGCCCGGGTTATGTTTGCACTTTATTTCTGGTCATGGTTTGTTCTTGGATTGTACACCTCGTCAACCTCAGGAAACAGAAAAACTAATATTTCACAGTTTCTGTAGGTTGGGAATGCAGGGTCATCTTCTCTGGGGCCTCTGGCCCAAGGTCTCATGAAGTTAGAATGAGGGCATTGGGGGCAGGGCTGTGGTCTCATCTGAAGGTTCAACTTAGGGGTGATCCAATTCCAAGCTCACCTAAGTGCTTATTGGCAGAATTCCGTTCCTTTCAGGTTGTTGAAGTGAGAGCCTCACTTCCTGGTTGACTGTTGTCCTTCAACTCTGTGGGCCTCACCAAAGAGCTGCTCACAGCATGATAGCTGGCTTCCCTCAGAACGAATGAATGAGAACACCCACAAATTTAACCAGTCATTTGTAACTTAATCCCAGAAGTGACATCCCATCCCTTCTACCGTATTTCACTCATTAGAAGTGAGTCACTGAGTGGCTGGCAGTTGATACGGTGGTTAAGGTGCTGGACTCCCAAAAGGCTGACTATGATTTGAGTCCTAGATCTGGCAGCTTCCTTTCTCAGTTTCCTTCTCTCTCTCTCTCTCTCTCTCTCTCTCTCTGGTCAATTTTTTTAAAAAATACTGCTAATAATAAATAAAATTTTAAAAATAGTTCTAGAAAAAAGAAAGTGAGTCACTGGGGCCAGCAGGTGGCCTGATGGTTATGGTATTGGACTCTCATATGGCCAACCACGGCTAGTGTCCTGGATGTGGTTGCTTGAAAATCACTCTGAGCACATGTGCATGCATGCTGAAAATCCCAGGAGGAGGGTGGAGGAAAAGGAATTGCAGTGTGGCTATCTGCTCCTGGGGGGCCATTTCTCATTTCCTCTCTCTCTCCAGCAAGTACACTCACCCTATGACAAAATCCTAGGGAAAAAAAGAAAGAGAGAGAGAGAGAGAAGTCACTAAATCTAGTTCACGCGCAAAAGGAAGGACTTGCCCAGCATGCGAGTGCCAGCAGCAGGGGGCCCGGAGTTGCTTCTCACACTTGTAGGTAGCTCCTCCCTGCAGCTGACTCTACTGCTTGCCTTTTGAAACCTGATTTCTTCAGATGTCAAACATACTATATATAGTCTCCTAGTCTCTTGCTAATCAAGTAAGGTCTACAGACCAGCAGCATCAGCATCATTTGGCAGATTGCTAGAAATGCAGATTTATACAGCAATTGAATATTATTCAGCCTTTAAAAAGAAGGAAATTCTGCAGTGTGCGACAAAATGGATGAAACTTGAGGACATTATGCTAAGTGGGATAATTCAGGCACCGAAGGACCAATAGCACATGATTCCACTTATATGAGCAATCTAAAATAGCCAGATTCGCACATCCACGGGTAGAATAGTGGTGGTTAGGGGGCAGGGGTTGGGGAAAACGGGCTTGCTAATCAACTGGCATGAAGTGTCAGGTCAGCAGGAT